ATAGGGGACCTTTAAGATATCCAGAGTCTAAAACAGCGTGTTGAACACTAAGTTGTAAGACGAGGACAGGGAGACACTGTTGTCCTCTCTCCTTTTTCAGCTGAATAGACCCATCAGTAACCAACACTGGTGGGACGCTGCTGACCTCCAGGTGACCCCCCCCCCCCCCCCCCCCCTCTCGATAATGGCGCTCACATTGTCCGAAACATTGTGGAGCGTCTCCGGTTTCAAAGAGGCCCGGCAAAACGGCACTTAGCCTCCGAGTAGTTGATCAGAAACCTCTTAGGTCGCGTTCACACCAGCCTCGTTTAGTCGAATCCTGGTGCGCACCGAAAGAAAGGAAGCGTAATATTTGAGTGTTGAACAGTGTCGTGTGAAGTCAAAAGGGTCCATCAATAATACATAAAAGTCAGGTACATGCAGCAAAATATAAAATTTGATCAGGTTAAGAGACACACTGAGGTAAAAGGTATGATAATAAAAATAATGATTTCTCTCAAGACACAAGACAACAGAATCTAACAGCAGTATGAAAATAACCTGGCGATGCTCCAAAGCTACGGTAGAAATTGCCGGGATTTACGTTAATTAACCCCCTTAATGTCTGACCAATGGTTGAACAGCATTTCCGAGCACATGACTTGTGTTTAAAGTTTATAGTCCGTTTGAGTGTTGCCCGTGTGAACGCAAACCGAACCTTCTGACAAATAAAACAATTGAACAAACTGTCGTCTGGTGCGCACCAAAGAAGCGACTTTTGCCCCTTTCACACCAACGCGTTTTCAGCTCCGGCTCGGAGCTGGAGCCTGAAAAGTACCGGTTTTTCCTGTTCACACCGCGCCGCCTCTTATCTCCGGAATCCGGTTCACTTCCAGCTCCAAAAAATGGTCGGTCTAGAGGCAAGAGCTTCGGAGCTAAGAGGCGGCGTCGCTTACGTCTCTCTTACGTCGAGGCGGGAGCAGGGGCAGATTCGTCGTTGATGCTGAAGACCACAAAGAAGACTCTTGCATTTCGCATGTGATGTTTGTAAAGTTCCAAGTAAAGTCGTCCCTTGTAAAGTCGTCCGATGCCTTCCATGTCGTTTCTTAAGAGGATAACCAAAGCGAACAGCGCTTCAATACAATCGGCCATTGTTGTTGTTGTCGATGTGAGGGATTTCCGCGGTTTGGATTTTATGAAGCAGGCACGTAAACGGTGACGTCATGACGCAGCAGCGGCAGCACTGTGCGGTGTGAACAGAGCGGGAGCAGAAAAGGGAAACAGGAGCTGAACCAGAAAAGCTCCCGCTCGGAGCTAGAAAGGGAAAAGCGCTGGTGTGAAAGCCGTATTTTAGGTGTGAATGCGACCTAAATCTCCACCTCACTCTGACAGCTGTAGAGGAGGAAGAGGAAGAGTATGTTTCTTGATGCTCGCGTCCTCTTTGTCACTGATATGGAAAACCTCCATCTGGGAGAGAAGTTGGATTTGGAAAGGTTCAGTTTTCGAGCTTCTGGTCCTGGTTGAGTATCAGTGAAGCTTCAGTGTGCCTCTCATGTCTCATTACTACCCTTTTTAAGGTCAAGCTTTAAGCATCTGTTTTTAGGAAATATGAAAATCTCTGGCAGTCTTTTGAAAACCCAGAAGGTATTTTAATGTTTCTGCAATTAGCTTAGTAAAATAGTAGTAATTTAATCGAGTGGTGCAGTGATAATGTATTTAGCATTTGAAGGGCTCCCTCGACAAAAAGCAGTTGAATTTTCCCATTTGATTTCGGAATATTGCTGAAAATAAGCTCTTTGGCAAACAAACGTTTATGATTTCTGAAGTAAAAAGCTAATGTCGTGCTATAAAGAAACTACAGCACGGTCACATGACTTCACGTCACCACCGCTAATGTCGTGCTATAAAGAAACTACAGCACGGTCACATGACTTCACGTCACCACCGCTAATGTTGGGCTATAAAGAAACTACAGCACGGTCACATGACTTCACCACCGCTAAGCTAAAGGCGGCTAATGTTGGGCTATAAAGGATGGTTAAATGCTAACTCATCTCTGGTTTAAGAACTCATTCCTGCACCACTCTTTCTGACCATTTCAACCCTTCACATTTTCCATTTTCTGCCTAAGATCCAATTATTGCTGTGGACATTTTTCACTATTTAATGACATTTTATAGACCAGATGATTGGCCGAACAATGGGCACATGAATGTCCATATTATGCTACAGTCAGAAATGCTAAATTAGCTTAGCATAAAGACTGGAAACGGAGGGAAACAGCTAGCATAGCTCTGTCCGAGTTTCACAAAATCCAAACACCAGCACCTTTAAAACTCATTACTACATCTCATTGAATAATTTAATCTTCAGACACACTATACATCTCCATTTTAATGTAGCGGTGTGTGCTACATGGTGCTAGCATCCTCTGAGTGGAAAACAGGCTTCTGCTTTTTTTAAATATCAGCCATAGATTTGAATCACAGATGCTTCAGTATCTCAAAAGTAATGATGAAACATGAGAGGCAATAACACCTCGTTGATTAAACCAAAACCGAGTCAGTGGTTTTCAGAGTAAAAGCCCCGATGTCTGAATGAAACGATACTCTGGTATTAAACGCAGACTTCCTGTGGAGAGCATAACGAGGGAATAATCACATCCTGCTGGGTCTTTAGTGAGGAAAGAGACTAGCAAACATTCCACATTAACATGTCATATAATGTACAGCAAACCTTTAGCCCTTTTCTGTCCGTCTCTGCGTAACCACAGTTATACTTCGGACCTGTTAACACATCTTTATGTCCAACTCCTTCGTCAGTAAGTAACCTTTCAAAAGAAAAAAGTAGAAAAATACAAAAAAAATACAAGAAGTGCCGTACAAATAGAAGCCTAATATTTTCTGTTTTGTGTGAGTGTACTGTACACCTGTATAATGTATATTTTAATATTTATATGCAGCTGTTGTATTAAAAGTATATTTTTAAAATAAAAACTGTGCCGTGTTTCTTTATTTTACAAGTTCACTAATAATTATTAATATTTTATTGTCATTTTTTGTATTCATATTATTCTATGACTGATTTTATCATCATTATTATAATTGTTATCATTTTATTTTTACAATAATCATTATTTTAATGATTTCATAATCATCACTATAATTATTATTGTATTTTTATTATTATTATTATTATTTCATTATGATCCTTTTTTTAATTATTATTATTATTATTAAACGAACGATCCACCTTTAGAAACCATTTTACAACATGTTGACTTGCTAAAAGCTGTTTTTTCTGTTAATTGTGATGCAGCGTTACCAATTAAAGGTGTTGCTTTTTTGCAAATGATTGACAAATGCTTTTTTGCACATTTGATTTGCATTTATATTTTGGGATCAATAGTGCATGAATGCGGCACAGCGCCACCCTCAGGCCACACAGAGGCACTGCAGCAGCCAGAAACCTTTTAAATAACTTCTTCCTGAAGAATTTGAAGCAGGAAGAAGCAGGGTTTTGGGTTACTCAGATTGTGTACTTGAGTAAAAGTAGAAGTACTCAGATTGTGTACTTGAGTAAAAGTAGAAGTACTCAGATTGTGTACTTGAGTAAAAGTAGAAGTACTCAGATGTTGTACTTGAGTAAAAGTAGAAGTACTCAGATTGTGTACTTGAGTAAAAGTAGAAGTACTCAGATTGTGTACTTGAGTAAAAGTAGAAGTACTCAGATGTTGTACTTGAGTAAAAGTAGAAGTACTCGGATCTTGTACTTGAGTAAAAGTAGAAGTACCAGAGTGTAGGAATACTCTGCAACAAGTAAAAGTCCTGCATTCAAAATGTTAGTCAATTAGAAGTACTCAAATGTTGTACTTGAGTAAAAGTAGAAGTACTCAGATCGTGTACTTGAGTAAAAGTAGAAGTACTCAGATCGTGTACTTGAGTAAAAGTAGAAGTACTCAGATCGTGTACTTGAGTAAAAGTAGAAGTACTCAGATCTTGTACTTGAGTAAAAGTAGAAGTACTCAGATCGTGTACTTGAGTAAAAGTAGAAGTACTCAGATCTTGTACTTGAGTAAAAGTAGAAGTACTCAGATCGTGTACTTGAGTAAAAGTAGAAGTACTCAGATCGTGTACTTGAGTAAAAGTAGAAGTACTCAGATCGTGTACTTGAGTAGAAGTAGAAGTACCAGAGTGTAGGAATACTCTGCAACAAGTAAAAGTATTAGTACTTAGTTACTTTCCTCTGCCCCTCAACCAAACCCATCTTAAAGCGTCAGATCAGCCCTAAAACAAAATGTAAAATATGTTTTCACTTCCCTTTAATGGTATTATAATATGTGGATAGTTATTCCAGGTTAATACATTTACTCAAGTACTATAAGTACGTTTCTCAGGTACTTGTACTTCACTTGAGTATTTCCATTTGACGCCACATTATCAATCCACATATGGAAGCTGATATTTTACCTTTTACTTCTACATCACCTCTAGTTTCTTTGATTCATATTTTGATTCCATGCAACAGAAGTAAATGAGATATGCAGATTTATATATATGGATTTTAAATAGCCACTTTTTAGCTGCTTTGGAAATGTTTAAAAACGACAGATCCTTACACATTAGTGCATTACATTATAATTATAAGGGGCGTAAATTAACTCAAAGACATGATTTTATTACAAAGAGGATTCTTTATATATTCACATATCTGTTAAAAGGTACCTTAATTCAAAACATCAAAGACAAGAATCCCTTCAGTGAATAAAAGTGAAACATTGCACAAAGCCCATCGATTAGATATTGGTCCCGAGTCAGGAGGGAAACAGGAATCACATTGTTACCGTTCTGCTGTGAAGTCTTGGTACGGTAGAGAGGAAGGACACACAACACACACAACACACACACACCACACACTCACACACACACACACACACACACACACACACACACACACACACACACACACACACACACACACACACACACCACACACACACACACACACACAACACACACACACACACACACACACACACACACACACACACACACACACACACACACACACACACACACACACACACACACACACACACACACACACACACACACACACACACACACACACACACACACAGAGAGTTTGACAGACGTGTCACAACTCATCTGTGTCAGGACGAACAAAGAGAGAGTGTGTGGAGGACACATTCAGCACAAGAGGAATCACGTTACACACATTTTAAAACAATGGGTGTCATCATCATGTTGTTCGATGAGTCATGCCCCACTTTAAAATCAGAAAGTAATGAGAGATTCTGAATTCTTTGGACATTAAAAAAAGACCTCCCACTTTTTTTTGCATCGTCATGGTCAGTCAAAAATAACAGTGGCTTAATTTGTACGGCTTTGAAACACATTAGGATGTAAAATAAGGGTAAGGCTTTATTCCTCATACACGGCTCTATTTGAAAACCGTTTTCATCCATTTTGACCCTTTTTCGTGCGTTCGAATCAGTTTAAACAGACGCTCCGGGCCTTGGTCAGCTGTCAGCGCCTTCATCCAAACACTGAGCAGATCTCTGGGCTTATTTCATCTAAAAAGCCTCTTGGCTGCGTCTCTCCTCTGATAAACATCGGAGGTCTCGACAGGAACGAGTGGCAGACGGTTATCAGAGAAGCTGACATCATCGGACGAAAGGAAACCATCCCAGGAGGAGAAACCGTATCTCTGACGGCAGGAGAGGAAGCTGCTCTCAGGGTGATGTCACTGGCGGTGGGGGAACATTCCAGATGCTAAGTAGTGGTTCAAAAAAAAGGGGCTTTCAAACACTAAGAGAAAAAAAGCTTCGTCTCCTCTGCTTTTTATTTAGCGTGAACGAGGGAATGTCGTGTTTAAGTCTGTTAGGAAACGCTCAAGGTCACATGTGGAAAGAGTAAGATACAATCTAGACAAATCTGAAGCACCCGGGATGAAATAGCCTCAAACCAAGTTGTTCAATGCAAGATGTCTTCCTGTATGGTGGCCACTTTGGGACATTTCAGGCTCAGATTCTCATTACATGTCACTTGTTAGACGCTTGTATCCAAAGCGACTTACATACTCAATACTGTGGGGTGAGGTGTCCCAGGGACACAACGACATGCTGACACAGTGGGGTTTGAACCTGTGCTCCTCTGATCCGAACACCAACGCACTAACCCACTGCGCCACACGCCTCCACCCAGGCTCAGTTCTACACCGTCAGATGCGTCTCCTTCAGCTTTAGCTAAAACTAAATTAACATTTTAAGGTGGCGATAAAGCAATTTTTGCAATGGAAGTCGTGAGCATCATCAACTTCGTACGCTCTCTATTGGTCACGTCATCATGCACTCATTTGCATAAAGGTTAGCAGCTGTGTGTTTTCGCAGTGAGGGAAATCAATAGTGTGTTGACAGGATGCTCTGAGCAACATTGGAAATGAATCATTGTGTTGCTAAATGTTATTCTAGTAGCAGACTTTGGAGCAAACAGAAAGAGGCCCGGTGGTCTTTGTGATAATGACGGCAACGTGATACCACTTCGATACGCTTTAACATCAAATGAAACCAACCAAAGCTAACAGGGTTACTCAAGTACTTCGCAGGTATTGCAGAGTAACTGTAATTAATATCAGTTCTCATAACTAGGAATGTCTTGGAAAAGTTAACAAAATAAAACCCGATGTCTTTAAAAAGGTAATTAAACCGAAATGTAAAGTTATATTGAATAAATTAATGTTAGACTGACAATAAACCCTATTTTGAACCATCAAGCGACCAACTCATGCACATGTCTCGTATCAAACGGTGTAAACTTGAGAACATGGGAAGGTTTTCACCTCCTCGTCATCACATTAACAGAAACACATCGACGTGAGATCAAAGTACAGCGAGATGTGTCTAAGAGGTATCTGGTCCTGTACAGAAATGATTAACTGACCTAGATGAAACATCCTCAGAGTCATCAGGGTGAGCCACGCTGCCTGCAGGCGTTTCAAATCCTCCCATGTATACATCTGTCATGGAAAGCTATAGAAACATGTGGCCCCTATAGAAACACTTTCTTTCTCGCCTATGTGCCTGAAGACAGCTTCCTAAATGGACGTTGAACAGAAATGTATAACCCGATCATCTTCTGCTGCTCAAGAGTGAAGACATTGACCGACGCACGGCTTCACGTCAGGGAGATATTGGTGGAGAACTTACGATACTCCTGTTGCTTCAAGTTGATTCTCTTCCTCTTCCAAAGAAGGAACCCAGAGAACAAGATTCCAGTCTGTGATTGGCTCTTTGTTTAAAGCTGCAAGATTGAACTGTGGCGTTTGGTTCCCAGCATCGTTGGAGAGCCTTCTTCCACGCAAAAAAAATATATGGCGAAGTCACGCCATCGGCTGGAGAGTAATTCCAGGTTCCTCTGTACTCACGTTCTGTACTCACGTTCTGTACTCACGTTATGTACTCACGTTCTGTACTCACGTTCTGTACTCACGTTCTGTACTCACGTTCTGTACTCACGTTCTGTACTCACGTTCTGTACTCACGTTCTGTACTCACGTTATGTACTCACGTTCTGTACTCACGTTCTGTACTCACGTTCTGTACTCACGTTCTGTACTCACGTTCTGTACTCAGGTTATGTACTCACGTTCTGTACTCACGTTCTGTACTCACGTTATGTACTCACGTTCTGTACTCACGTTCTGTACTCACGTTCTGTACTCACGTTCTGTACTCACGTTCTGTACTCACGTTATGTACTCACGTTCTGTACTCACGTTCTGTACTCACGTTCTGTACTCACGTTCTGTACTCACGTTCTGTACTCACGTTCTGTACTCACGTTCTGTACTCACGTTCTGTACTCACGTTATGTACTCACGTTCTGTACTCACGTTCTGTACTCACGTTCTGTACTCACGTTCTGTACTCACGTTCTGTACTCACGTTCTGTACTCACAATGGCTTTTTATTTTACATTCAGGGGGAAATCATATTCTCCCCTAAAATTGATCAATTTGAGTGGAGTTTGATTCCCAGGGTCATTAGACATGTCCTTTTCCATGTAAAAACAGATCTGGCCCAGTCACACCGTCAGCTGGTGAGTCATTCCAGGTTCCTCTGTACTATGTTTTCATTCAGAGGGGAATCATATCATATCATATTCTCCCCTAGAATGGATCAATCTAGGTTTTGAGTTTGGCCGTCCCAAGTGTCCTTTTCCCTGTAAAAACAAATCTGTCCCGGTCCCACAGCTGGGCAGTAATTCCAGGTCCCTCTGTTCTCACACTAATGAGGTGTTGTGCCCTCCCCTCTCAGGCCAGCAGCGCCTCCCCCTCCTCGGCCCACAGCAGCTTGAGGGTCTCGTTCTGCCGCTGCTCCCTCTGGTGGATCCTCCTCAGACGCAGGATGTACAGCAGGATGGCCAGCACCACCACCAGCACACACAGGGAGAACAGGTGGTGGTTGTAGAGGAAGGAGGAGCGCAGCCAGCTGGGGTGGTTCTGACGGAGGGTCTCCTGCTGGAGGTCCCTGGAGGAGGAGAAGGACCACAGAGAAACGACATTAACCACTTATATTTATGTTTTCTATAATGCACAAAAGCAATATGTTATTCTTCAATAAGATGCATGCCCACTGCTCCTAGCACTAGGATGGGTACAAAGCAGAGATAGCAAAGCACACACATCATTTACTCAAGTAGAAGGACAGATACTCGTGTGTCAAATAGAAACATGTCAAATAGAAATAAAAAAGTAGAAAATATACATGTTGAATACAAATGTACAGGAACAAAATATAAAGCAGGATATTATATATACATTAAGTGTGGCAGGAATGGAATATTACACTGAATATAAATGTAAAATGTTCAGTGTGAGTTTAAGTCTATTTATCCAAGAGAAGCTAAGGAGCAGAGGAGGTGTGTGTGTGTGTGTGTGGTGTGTGTGTGTGTGTGTGTGTGTGTGTGTGTGTGTGTGTGTGTGTGTGTGTGTGTGTGTGTGTGTGTGTGTGTGTGTGTGTGTGTGTGTGTGTGTGTGTGTGTGTGTGTGTGTGTGTGTGTGTGTGTGTGTGTGTGTGTGTGTGTGTGTGTGTGTGTGTGTGTGTGTGTTTTACCTGAGGGGCAGGAAGCGTGTTTTGAACAGAATGGCTCCCAGAGTCCACTGCACCTCCTTATCATAAACCAGCTGAGCCGTCCTCAGGCTCCGGTAGTCGGGGGGGAATCTGAAGCCGGAGTGCAGCACCTCGAACATCCAGGCCGACTTGAAGCACTGATACCTGGGAAACAGGGGGACGGGTCGTAATGTTATATATATAGCACCTTTCATACAACAAGTGCATAGAGTAGACATGTAAAAAACACATTTAGGTTAAAGGTACAACGATGAAATTGTGCATTAAAAGGAGGATAGTGAAAAGTCAACACCCAATCAGATGACAGGTTAAAATGCATCGCAATACATTGAGAAAGTGCAGCAGAGAGCAGAGGCCTGTACTACGAAGCCGGATTTTCGCTTAGCCGGCTAACCTCAGGGAAAACTCCTACGACGCTGGTTCTCTTCTTAGCGGGCTAGATCTCCTGCCACAACATAAGTAACCGGATCAGAGTAACATGACGCACAGTCCACGGCACTGTGACGTCGATGTGTCCCATTATCATTAATATCATATCACATCTGTTTGCGTATACTGCTTAGAAAACCAAGGTGGTGCAGTGCAAGAGAAATGTTCTGTAATGCACGAGTCAACACGTTCCATGCTCTCTTGAGAAATCTGATGTTCAGATTCATCTGTCGATTGAATGTTTCTCGTAACTCTGTCATTATGCTGCTTTCAAATCCGTGTCTCAGTGCTGTCCGATACCAGCCACCTCTGGAAGCATTGGTATCACTGCCTTTTTTTATTTATATTTGAGTGTCTTGTAATAATGGACCAAGAGTCTCTTTAAATAAAGATGATGATGACTTCATAATGTATCATATATCTCCTTATCTGAGCCGTATCTGGCCGTGCAACACTCACAGTCTCACATACGCAGAAGTGTTATTTTAAGCAACACATTAAGTTGAGGAAACACTCGAGTCAAATGTATTTAAAGTCAGATCGTGTTTTAGACGGGGCAGTGATATCATAAACCTGTTAATGTACGCATCCAAACACTTGTTCTGTCACCAGCTGTATTCACCTTGCAGGTGCAGCTCTGTGGCTTTGATCCTGGATCAAGTGTTTAAGTCATGGATGTTAAAGTTTAACTTCTTCATATGTCTAATATTATAGTTGACTTTTCATTCAGGAAGTATGTTAGTATGTCAGTACGCTTGTCCATGTTTGTGATTGGTCAAATGTTGCAAACCCCGCCCCATTTATGTGAACGCGCACCTAACTGGATAGGGCAAAGCTGGCTTGAGTTAACGAGTTGATAACCAGCGTCGTAGGACAGTTTAGCGAGAGCGCGTATGTTTTGGATTAGGTAAGCCGGGTAACTCAAACATATCCAGGGTCTGTTGAACCGGCTTCGTAGTACAGGCCTCTGATGTACTTATATGATTCTGTTTTCTTCAAGTGTGTATCTTCTTGGAACGCACTTATTGTACGTCGCTTTGGATAAAAGCTAAATGAAATAATGTAATGTAGTACTTTATCCTGGTTATTTCAGATGGTTTAAATGTCATTGTTCTCACAGTGCAGCTTCTCATTATTGAAAAGTCACAATAAAAAAAATCACAAATTTGAAGCTGTAACGTAAACCTTAATAAACCACTAGAGATAGTTTGTGTTTTTTCTGTTGCACTATAATCCTGAAAACATTCAAAATACTAAGTCCAGAGCATATTTTCTGATGATTCCTGTGAACGATGAGTTGGTTCCTAAAAACAGGGAAGTTAAGAGCGAGGAATGATTCATGCAAATTGACTCTTGGTGCTAAATGTGAGCTTTAAACTTTGGTGGTAGTGAAGTCATTTAGATGTCTGTTGCTAACTGCAGAACAGTTGGCTTTCTCCAGAGATTCACACTCAGACTCAGCATCGTGTTCACTCTTTAAAAAACGTCTTTTAAGCCTGGTTGATATTTAGAAAGGGAAAAATATTACAAAATGTTTGACGCTTTACAAACCAATTCTAACAATTTCACAGCCATTGGTTCGCTAGTAGCTGTTTCTGCTGACAGGCAAACAAACCTTCATCAAACCTATACATAAAACAACAACTATAAAACAATATTTTAGCCGCTTTCGCCTCTAGAGTTTAAAACATTTGCTTATTTGTTCCTGTTTCCAGGTGTAAAAGTAGTTTGAATTGGTGAGTTTGTGAATACAGCTCAAAAACCCGACTCGCTGTAATTATCAAAAAACAATGTGTGATGTGTTGAAAGTGGAATTGATAATGCGCATAACTGTGAATAAACGACGTGTTAGCAACTGTTTTGCACTGATTTAACATGACGAAAACCTGCCTGCTGCCACACGCAGAAACCTTTCATTCATCACAACAAATGCCATCTGTGGAATAACTGTACGGACGAGATGAATATTGTTGTTTATCTAAACTAAAACTATCATTTAGAAACCAAATCCTGAGCAGAACCTGTGAAGTGATGCTTGTTATTTCTTGTCATTGTAAAAGTTATTTCCTTTTGGTTGTTTTGTAAAAAAAGAAAAAGGTAACACTTTATATTAAGGTACACAAATTCACCATCAACTAGTTGTCAGTTAACGTGCATATTAGCTCTTTCTTAGTCAGTGTTAAACTCTTATTAATGCCTTATTCTACAAGTCCATATTCTACAAGTACTAGGCCATTAGTTAAGAGTTTTCCTCAGTAACCCCCTAATTAGTGCTGATTTATTGTACGTAAGGAAGTTGTTGGACATGAGTGAGTCTTAATATGCTCAATATGCAGTAGCAGTATCACAAGAATATAATTCTCCCATAATGACACCTAGCAAATATGATCTATTCTTATGGAACAAGACATTAAACTATAACGGCCGTCCACACAGCGTGCGTTGAAGCTTGCCGGCGGGCGTGTCTGAAACTCGACCAACAACCAATCACATGAATCTCCCGCCCCTGACACACAAGCAGCGGTTTGATTGGCTAGAGCTTGTACTGGCATGTGATTCGATTGGCTGACGCTTCTGCCGAGGCGTCAAAAGTTGAACATTGCTCAACTTTTGCAGCGAGCCACGCCAGCAAAGCTCCGCGTCGCTTCCCACAGTGACGTCACCCCATTCAAAGTGAATGGTGAAGCGTCAACGCACGCCGCTGTGTGGACGGGCCGTAAGTGTTAATTGTGTCAAAGTAACGAAACATGTGGTATTTGTAACTCAGAATATGTTCCCTATTTGAAAGTGAAGTCTTGTTCATAATAAATAAGCTAGAAAAAAAAAAAAATGTGTTTAAAACAATGAATCCAATCCATCACGGCTGCTGATGACCTAATCTTTTATTTTCAAGATAAATGTTCGCGAGAGGAACCGGATCTCCTTTCTTGCCCCTGTTGAACATGAGAGACTATTTGAGAATGCATTTATTAGTTTTTTTTGTACCTTGAACGTTTTTTTCTCTTTCTCTTTGACATAATTATTATTATGATTATTATTTGTTTTGTTTCTGACATGTTCAACAAATTGACAAATAAATCATTTTAATAAAATAAAACCCACATTTGACAGTAAATCAAATGAAAGCTGTGCATCATTTAAACGTTGTTGAAGAAGAGATGAACTCACTTGAGTCGGCTGATGTCGGCCTGCTGAGAGAACAGCTTGTTGTCCAGACGCTGTTTCAGTGTCGACCACTTGGTGGCGCAGTAGTCCTGCGGAAACAACAACAAACTTTATATAAACAACAAATAATCATGCATTTGTTTTGATAGAGATATTACTCTTGAAAAAGTACCATAGCGAAGTGGTTATCACCAGATCGCCCAACTTTAAACGCATGGATGGTTATTTACTAAATGGAGAGGATGTGTCTACCTGATTTGCACTGCGCAAGTTGGTCTGCTGGACCGCTACGTACGGCAACCCAAACAGGACATTTGAAAAAGCGGTGTTTCGCAAAGAATAAAAACAAACCGACCGCATTAATCTGAACGAGAGAGATGAGTTTTTACAACGTCATTTCCCGGTCATTTGAGAATAAATCCTTTTAGTGGATTAAGTACATTCTTAGAATAAGTGAGAAATGGGTTTAACTTCTGATTGACAGCCTTCACACTGGAACAATAACACACTGTACATTTATGCAATCATTTATGGCATTCATAAGTAATATCTAATTGTTAACTTAGTCTTAGTCCAGAGAAACTTTTTCTGTTGAGATTCCTGGAAAAGGGAAATTACTTTTCATAAAAAAAGTTGATTCAAGAACAAAACTCTGTTATTAGATCAGTACGGACGTCATATGTCCTGTTTGGGTTTCCGTACGTAGCTGTCCAACATGGCGGACCAACTCGCGCTGGAGCAGGGCACATCAGGCAGACATGCAAGTCGGGTAGTCACAGAGGATAACATCATCTGTCAATCACAAACTGGAACTATTTGTGTCACGATGTAGAAAGTGGACTGATTTTGTAAAACCTCATCGGCCAGATTTCATTTTTACAAACGTATGATTTTACTGTGAAGTCCTGATCCCTCCCTAATGTTCGTATTGTTTGTACTTTACTGTTTTGATCTTTGTGTAAAAAAACACATTTCGGACAGACAAACTTAAGATGTACAACTACTATGTCTTCAAAACCACTGTGTAATTGTTTGCTGCCAAATGTCAATAAAAAATATATTACAAAAAAAGTACCATAGCAGCTTTGGAGTACTTCCTGCTGTCGTACTGTCCTCCGAGCCGCAGAACGTCCTCCGTGCAGTAGAAGAACTCAGAGAAGCCGTAAAACTCACTGTTACTGAAGTTGATGGGAGCCTGAAACACAAAACATGGCATTAGAATCAAATCAGTTCAATAGGAATTCACAATAAAGTACTCTCCTTACAAACCAGGACGTCAAATTAAACTGTAATCCTCATTTATTGACCTACAAATTGACTCACCTCGTGCAAACATTTCAATAAACAGCCAACAACTATTTTAATCATCAATAAATACAACAGCAAAAGTGTTTCTTAGATCAACCGGTTCATTGTTAGGTTTAAAAAGTCAGAAGGTGTTAATTATATGCATTCTAGTTTTCAAATTGTAAGGTGATGTAAGGTTTAAGGTTTAATAGTCTTGTTTTGTCAGTCCAAAACTCAGATGTATAAAAACTAGGGTTGCAAAATTCCGGGAATTTTCAAAGATGGAAACTTTCCATGGGAATAAACGGGAATTTAAGGGAATAAACGGGAATTTAAGGGAATACATGGGAATAAACTGGGAATTTAAGGGAATACACAGGAATTTAAGGGAATAAACTGGGAATTTAAGGGAATAAACTGGGAATTTAAGGGAATACACGGGAATAAACTGAGAATTTAAGGGAATAAACGGGATTTTAAGGGAATACATGGGAATAAACTGAGAATTTAAGGGAATAAACGGGATTTTAAGGGAATACATGGGAATAAACTGGGAATTTAAGGTTTAATTTAGTTAATTATGAAGTTATTACCCTATGTGATAATAATCCAATGCAGAGGCAATAATGTAATATAATACATTATTTTATATATATATATTTATATATGTATTTTTAAATAGTCTTGAAGTTACAACCGGCCTTTTGAGTGCAGCCATAATGCTGATGTGGCCCGCGATTAAATTGAGTTTGACACCCCTGCTCTAAATGAATTCTTAGTGTTGGGATAATGTAGGTTCACAAAACAAAAATGATACAACACAGATGTAGTCAGATTGGGGCATTTTGATGTGGACATGTTGCACATGACATCTTTAAAAGGAGCTTAGGAATTAATCATTTTTAATTGAATGTTCGGTAACCGTAAGGCGTACAGGTTAGTAGTACCCAAAAGATTTACTGCAGGACTGTTGTACAAGACTAAATGTTTTCCTATGTTTTGGATATGGAAATCTTGCGTCTTAGGCTTCTCCCACAATGCAAAAACACAATATAACATAAAAGAAACAACACAAAAAGGTAAAAGCAAGAGACAAATGGTTGAAGTTGGTACCTGGTAGACTCCCCCCGGGGACATGGTACCGTTGTGGATCCCCAGGAAGGGTCTGACGGCCTCCTGGCACCGGGTCCAGTCCCCCTGCCCTCTGAGGCTCAGGGTCCGGTTCTCTCTCACCACGCTGTCCTGCAGGCTGAGCGGCAGACACGGGTCCAGGTACGGCTTGTCCTCGCTCAGACCCAGCTGCGTGGTCAGGAGCCTGGAAACAAATATTTCATATTAAGGACGAACATTTATTATTTATTAGTTGTTTATTAGTTTGTTTATTCCACACATGGCAATTATTTTAAAAGAAAACATGTACACTTATAGAGAGGCAAAGTCCCTCTCTTTCCGGGGGACCTCCATGGGACCTTATTTCGGAAAAATAATGTATTGAAGTCAATGGGGAGAGAAAGATTATCTTTCGATCCCGTTTGAATTGTCCCACGAATTACACACATGATATTTGTCAATTTAAAAGATAATTTCCATGTCAAAAAAGTCACAGTTTGTCGTAAAACTGTTGAAATATAAGACTATGAAAAATACACAACTAGAAAGACTACAAATCCCAGAGTCCCGGTCCCGCATGCTGGCTCTCACGGAACCGACTAACTCCCCTTGTGTGTATGCACAGCTCTCAACGTGCCCAGACTTGGAGTGATTTTCACCTCGTTTAATACTTTCCACCTCATTCTGAAAGAAAGAAGTGAAATGTTCCAACGTGACGGCCGTCTTGGTGTTTGTGCGAGACGGGAGATGTAGTTCATTGAGCGGTTTCACACAAAAGTGTTACTTCACAGTTTTACGACACATTTTAATTTTTTTGTCTTGCAAAATTACCTTTTAAATTGACAAACATCATATGTGTAATTCGTGGCACAATTCAAACGGGATCGAAGGATAATCTTTCTCTTTCCATTGACTTCAATACATATTTTTTCAGAAATAAGGTCCCATGGAGCTCCCCCGGAAAGGGAGGGACTTCGCCTTTCTATACTATATGCGAGGGGGACCCAAGTTCCCATCAGCAGAAACACGTGGGTTTGCTGTCCTGGCTCCAGGATGGTGGAATGAGCTCCCCATTGACATCAGGACAGCAGATAGCTTACACACCTTCCGGCGCAGACTGAAAACTCATCTCTTTCGACTCCACTTCGAGCGATAGAACTATTAACAAAGCACTTATATACTAATAAAGGACTGGCTTATCTAAAGCCAGTTGAGTAGCACTTGAAATGTTTGGCTCTATGAAACCTGATGTACTTATATGATTCTGTTTTCTTCAAGGTTGTGTCTTCCTGGTCGAATGTACTTATTGTAAGTCGCTTTGGATAAAAGCGTCAGCTAAATGCAATGTAATGTAATGTATACTGGCTGTTTTTATTTGATTTATTTGTTTATAGCGCATGGTGGAAAGGAGCAGGGAGAAGAAAAATAAAAGCCATATTCTTTCAGTCACAGTTGCTTACAAATACTGAAACATAAAACCAGAACACAATCAAAAGTCGACTTCATACTGTCTGATTACGCTTTCTTTATACATTTTCTTAAACATAAAATGTTCTTCCAGCCCTTTACGCCAAGAGACACTCATCTGCTTTAAAGTAGTAAACTGATGCTTAACATCTAATTTCCTCCTATGACGCTCATACTCTGAAATGAAAACAAATTTGTTTTGTATATTTTCTGGCAGTATTCTGATTTTTGCTTTATGCAAAACTAAAGCCGTCTGTAAGTCTATTAAATCTTAACATTTGAACAGCCTTGACTTGATTTATAGTGCCTGAATAGATTTCTGATCTTCAGCCAGAGTCAGAACTAAACCTGGAGAGACAGCGTTTCGTTATTATGCTTCATATATACGGATCAAACTCCCAGAAAATCACAACAAAAAAGGAACTTGTTCTTCGTTAGTCACATATACACCGACTTTGAAACATCAGTTTTTTTAGTTCAATTCATTTAACCGGATAAGACCAACAATAGAGATATTTTGTAATGGGGACTGTTAGAAATTAAAATCAATGTTTTGATAGCATAATGTACCTTAAACATACCGTCAGTATAAATGCTATTTTATTCTGGAAAAAAACGGAAGTTCTCAATACCAAGCTTTTATTCTGAAAATCCTTCATGACGACATCCGGGACTACCGTCCATTAGTATCATTAAAGTGGCTATTGACGCCGTTAACATGTATTACATATAAAGTTATGAAAGAGATAAGGAGGATGTGGAAGTAAGCAATGAATGTAAAATGTCGAAATCCTCCGTTTAACGCGATATCGGACACAGAAGACCGAGGGGGGAAGTCCCCTACGTCACCACAGCCCCCAGAGAGGAGGAGCGAACAGCCAGCAAGCGGGAAGGACGAATGCTTGTGGGCTCTCTTCTGATCGGCCGACCACAGAGAGGGAGCTTTTTACATCCCTCTCTCTGAATCATCTTCTGCTTGTAACATTACCGCGCCTTTTTATTAATTAAAGTACCCATTTGAACCTTCCAAGAGACTCAATTAGTCTCCTTTTAAAGCTTCTCTCCTGGACGCGAGAATAACGAACAAAACATAACAGGACCTAGCCAAGAAGGCATCAAAGTCACACACACAAACAGTATTTAATGCAAAACAGTTCATACAAAAAAACTACTGTCCATGCATCACGAGAAATATGCATAACTGAAACTGACAACAAGACATGCCATCATCACTATGCATTGAAACAAGAGTTTTGTTCTCCTTTGTATGTCTGAAATGCCAAAATACATTTCTGATCTTCTGCCAGAGTCAGAACTAAACATGGATAGGCAGCGTTTAGTTATTATGCTTCATATATATCAATAGGATACGGCTGTAATAGGCATAAGGCCTTTTAGTCGCTCATAAATAAGTAGATCACTGTTCTTTATATACTATGGATGCTGGCAACAGTCACATAGTCCAAAGTGAAGGTGATGTTTGACCAGTAGTGGTCGAGGCGGGACTTGAGACAGTTAACCGTCTTGGATGTGACAACGCTTTCTGGCAGATCATTCCACAAGTCAACCACACGCAGGCTGAAAAAGTTGCGGCGGATAGCCAGTCTTGAGTAGGCCTACTGTTTCTTCAACTTGAGGCAGTGTCCACGAGTCCTGGTGTTATAATCCCGTTGTAGTGGGCATGATGTTTTGTAGATGTTGTGGAGATATTTGAAAACTTCGATCATATCTCCCCTCGCCCTTCTTTAATATTACATTACATTACATTACATTGCATTTAGCTGACGCTTTTATCCAAAGCGACTTACAATAAGTACATTCGACCAGGAAGACACAACCTTGAAGAAAACAGAATCATATAAGTACATCAGGTTTCATAGAGCCAAACATTTCAAGTGCTACTCAACTGGCTTTAGGTAAGCCAGTCCTTTATTAGTATATAAGTGCTTTGTTAATAGTTCTATCGCTCGAAGTGGAGTCGAAAGAGATGAGTTTTCAGTCTGCGCCGGAAGATGTGCAAGCTATCTGCTGTCCTGATGTCAATAATACATACTCGGGATCTTAAGACTTTGCAGTCGTTCTTGATATGGACCAAACTCCCAGAAAATCGCAACTCTCATTTATTTTAAAGCAAGACTGAAGACTTATCCTAAATCCAAAGACTTTTGCATGTCCTACACTGTAAGTTTGTTTCTAATTACATTTTGCTGTAATTGTGTAATGAGCATCTGTTGCACTATCCTAATGCTATTAATGTTTTTTATGAAGCACTTTGAAAGGCCTTGTGTCAAAATGTGCTTTATAAATAAACCTTGCCGTACAGTCAATGTGTGGACTCATTTGAGATCATAATCACAAGAGGAGACACAGTGTGAGAAAAAGTTTTTAGAGAGTACTTGTCCATGGACAAGTGAGTTTGGCAATTTACTTGTCCGAATACATTTTTCACTTGTCCAGAATGGACAAAAATTGGGGCCACTGGAATCTTCTTCTTCGCCATCGTATTTTACATTTTCCCACGGTTTTTACGACACCGCTAACGTAAGTGAGCGGTAACATTTTACTGCATCACACATAGGGTTGGGTATCGTTTGGATTTTAACGATTCCGGTTCTGCTTTTCGATTCCGGTTATTTTCGGTTCTCGATTCCGGTTCTTTGAGAGGTCAAAGTCAAACTGGGAGACAAATATATTTATGAAAACATTAAGTCAAATCTGTATTCCTATTTACAAATAACTTCATACTGTTTAATTTCTTACGTTATTGAATACAATTATATAAAAATAATCTCTGCATTGTTTAGTTAGTTCTAAGTGGTGCAGTTTGAGAATGTACAATTGGCCCAGTCTCCTCTGATGTTACACTGCAACCTGCCTGTGAGACAGAGTCCAACCACACATGTCCAACACATAGGACATAACCTAATAATAATAATAATAATAATAATAATACATTATATTTATAGCCTATAGGCCTAGCGCTTTTCTACAACTCAAAGACGCTTGCACGCTTACACATGTCCTGCAATACATATGCTGCAGCTGCCCAGCTGCTCACTGTTTGTAAAAGTAAATACATAGTATTTTCATTTCAATAATGTAGATACTTTCTATACCTTGCTTCATAAACAATACTGACATCCCTGTGCTCCTCCGAGTCTGGGGGTCCAGGGATGTGAGGACAGCGCGAGGACACAGACAGGGAGGCTGCTTTACTTCATAAAGGAAATGGCGGTCAATATTAACAACACAGGAGCTAAAACGCTTAATAACCTTCATTACGTGTTAGAGAAAGAACATAAGAAAGTTTGACAAAGATGAGGCTGTTAAACGGGCAGCGGAGCCGCTGTGTGTAGAAAGAGAGAGAGAGAGAGAGAGAGATGCTGAGCTGCACCGTGCAGCGATCAGCTGATACGGAGCATAGAGAGAGAGCTGCGGTCCGCGGGGATCGGCCTCGCCTCTTGTCCTCACAACTCTTATTAATCCCGGTACCGGACAATTGTTATTTGTTCCTACTCGGAACCGAGTTTTGCTTCCCAACCCTGCCACTGTGCTACACTTCCCGCCCCGCCCCGCATAATTGTACAGAAAGCGGCGAGATGCATTTCCTTAGGAATCGACAAGCAGAACCGAAACTAACATTTCTAAACGAACAATGGCGGACACGTACAATTTGCGAATGAGTTCTGCCTTTTGTAAACTGAATGTATCAATAATTTGTCAATAAATCAGGGCGAAAAACGTCACTTGTCCGCCGGACAAGTCAATTGAAAGATCTACTTGTCCGATATTGTAAATAACACGTCCCGGACGGTGGGACGTGTACTTTTTCGCACACTGAGACATGAATAGACCAGCAGACTCTGCGACAGTCTTTTATCCCACAGAATAAATGAACAGCTAAATACTTGAGCTATAGAGCTGGGAGTTAGTCAAATCAATGTCTGTGGTTCATTGGTGGAAAGGTTGGTTTTCTTTGGTGATTAACTCTTAGGCTCAGTTGTCAAGCCTAGTGGTAATTGTTGAAATTCACTTTTTACATAAAAGTCTTAGCCTTAAATCCAAAAGCACTTTGTGATGAAACAGTGTACCTGTTCTTGGTGAAGGTTCTGTCTGTCTGTCTGTCTGTCTGTCTGTCTGTCTGTCTGTCTGTCTGTCTGTCTGTCTGTGTGTGTGTGTGTGTGTACCTGTTCTTGGTGAAGGTGTTGTTGAGCAGCTGCTCCTCATAGCGTTCTCGGTGTGTGTGTATGTGTACCTGTTCTTGGTGAAGGTTCTGTCTGTCTGTCAGTGTCTGTGTGTGTGTGTGTCCGTCAGTGTCTGTGTGTGTGTGTGTGTGTGTGTGTGTGTGCCTGTTCCTGGTGAAGGTGTTGTTGAGCAGCTGCTCCTCATAGCGCTGTTGGTGTGTGTGTGTGTGTGTGTGTGTGCCTGTTCTTGGTGAAGGTGTTGTTGAGCAGCTGATCCTCATAGCGCTGTTGGTGTGTGTGTGTGTGTGTGTGTGTGTGTGTGCCTGTTCTTGGTGAAGGTGATGTTGAGCAGCTGCTCCGCATAGTGCTGTTGGTGTGTGTGTGTGTGTGTGTGTGTGTGTGCCTGTTCTTGGTGAAGGTGTTGTTGAGCAGCTGCTCCTCATAGTGCTGTTGGTGTGTGTGTGTGTGTGTGTGTGTGTGTGTGTGTGTGTGTGTGTGCCTGTTCTTGGTGAAGGTGTTGTTGAGCAGCTGATCCTCATAGCGCTGTGTGTGTGTGTGTGTGTGTGTGTGTGTGTGTGTGTGCCTGTTCTTGGTGAAGGTGTTGTTGAGCAGCTGATCCTCATAGCGCTGTGTGTGTGTCTGTGTGTGTGTGTGTGTGTGTGTGTGTGTGTGCCTGTTCTTGGTGAAGGTGTTGTTGAGCAGCTGATCCTCATAGCGCTGTGTGTGTGTGTGTGTCTGTGTGTGTACCTGTTCTTGGTGAAGGTGTTGTTGAGCAGCTGCTCCTCATAGTGCTCTCGGTGTGTGTGTGTGTGTGTGTGTGTGTGTGTGTGTGTGTGTGTGTGTGTGTGTGTGTGTGTGTCTGTGTGTGTGCCTGTTCTTGGTGAAGGTGATGTTGAGCAGCTGCTCCTCATAGCGCTGTTGGTGTGTGTGTGTGTGTGTGTGTGTGTGTGTGTGTGTCTGTCTGTGTGTGTGTGTCTGTGTGTGTACCTGTTCTTGGTGAAGGTGTTGTTGAGCAGCTGCTCCTCATAGCGCTGTGTGTGTGTGTGTGTGTGTGTGTGTGTGTGTGTGTGTACCTGTTCTTGGTAAAGGTGTTGTTGAGCAGCTGCTCCTCATAGCGCTGTCTGTGTGTGTGTGTGTGTGTGTGTCTGTGTGTGTGTACCTGTTCTTGGTGAAGGTGTTGTTGAGCAGCTGCTCCTCATAGCGCTGTCTGTCTGTGTGTGTGTGTGTGTGTGTGTGTGTGTGTGTGTGTGTGTGTGTACCTGTTATTGGTGAAGGTGTTGTTGAGCAGCTGCTCCTCATAGTGCTCTCGGTGTGTGTGTGTGTGTGTGTGTGTGTGTGTGTGTGTGTGTGTGTGTGTGTACCTGTTATTGGTGAAGGTGTTGTTGAGCAGCTGCTCCTCATAGCGCTCTCGGTGTGTGTGTGTGTGTGTGTGTGTGTGTGTGTCTGTGTGTGTGCCTGTTCTTGGTGAAGGTGATGTTGAGCAGCTGCTCCTCATAGCGCTGTCGGTGTGTGTGTGTGTGTGTGTGTCTGTGTGTGTGTGTCTGTGTGTGTGTACCTGTTCTTGGTGAAGGTGTTGTTGAGCAGCTGCTCCTCATAGCGCTGTGTGTGTGTGTGTGTGTGTGTGTGTGTGTGTACCTGTTCTTGGTGAAGGTGTTGTTGAGCAGCTGCTCCTCATAGCGCTGTCGGGCCATGTTTCCTCCGAAGCCCAGGAAGGTGGTGACGTAGACTCTGTAGACGTGCTGCGTGTGCTCCACATCACAGCCCAGGTTAAACTCGGCCAACACACTCTTCCCCGCCTCCTCCTGGACACACACAACATTGTCAATACCTGTATGTTGCCGTCCATCTGTTCCTAACATCTAATGCAGGGGTGTCCAACTCAATTTCATTGCAAGGCAAGGCAAGTTTATTTATATAGCACCTTCCAACACAAGGCAATTCAAAGTGCTTTATAAAAGTGAAAGCAGCGGCAAAAAGAAAAGTCTTCAGCCTGGATTTAAAAACAGTCAGAGTTGCAGCGGACCTGCAGGTTTCTGGGAGTTTGATCCAGATATTTGGAGCATAATAACTGAACGCTGCTTCTCCATGTTTAGTTGCGTGCCACATTCAAATTCAAAGGTTTTATTGTCAGATGCACAAAGCTACAGTGTAGAAATGCCAGTGGCGAACCGTCAGGGCCTTCAAGGTATTCAGAGAATACCCTGGAACACTCAATTTTTTGTTTGATAAAACAAACAAAAATCTATTATATTATATCTATTTAATTATATAAATAAAATGTAATAAAATGAATAAATGAGAATCGTATCCGTGTTGTTGATCTGTAATATTACAGTGTTATGTTGATTTGTTTGTCCTTCTCGGACCATGCACTCCGCTTTTCAGTGGTTTTGTGTTAGAAAAGAAAGCAACCAATCAGATCTTGTTCTGGGTCTCTGGGTAGAATATCCTTCACCAAGGTATTCTACATCCTTGATCGAATGCCCTGGCCGTTGCACTGAATGAGAGCGTACGTTTGGACTGACAGTTTGATCAACCAATCATATATTAATTTGTAGCTAATGGGCGTGTTCTTTCAGAGTTCCCCTCGGTTCCAGGTGCTCTAGAAGGCCCGCTAGTTAACTGGCTCTAGATCAGGGATGGGCAAATGGCGGCCCGCGGCCCGCATGCGGCCCCCACCTCCTCTTTGTGCGGCCCTCAGATTAATTTATAAAAAATTGTTTTACCTGTAGTACTGATACCGTCCACTAGACTCCTAGTTACGTCCCGATCTGCGTACATGATTTCAAATACCGCAAAATAATCTGTGACGCATTTGTGTGTATTTTGTTTGTTTCCCGGGGAAACCCTCACAAGAAACACCGGCTGTTGTTATGCCTGCTGTGACGTTAAGTTGCCTCTTGTAATTATGCCTTTACAAGCTTAAAAGTTGTTTTTATCATCTGAATTTGGCGAAACAAGTTTAATGTTCTGAAAACCAAGACTTTGTTTATTTGAAATCAGATGAAAACAAACTGTCACGGACCCTGCCGTGTTATCTATGATTACTACGCTTTTCATTCATAATTTCAGCGGGAGGGAGGGGGAGTGGCTGACAGGTGTCTGTGTTGACATTCCCCTTATTGTGGAATAAGGGGAATGCAGACAGGCTACAAGTGTTTTAGGTTCAAGTTAGACAACTAATGTCTGGGTTAGTGTTCATGACTTCATGTGTATGTCATCTAATGGTTAATCTCTCAATACACACACATTTTCCGTGCTTTCCAATAGTTTAAAATAGTTTTATTCCACTGTTTAATAACCTGTTCAATACAAACATGCCACTTGTAAAAATGAAATAACATTTCTGTGAACTGATATTTGTTTAGTGAGCTTATTAGAGGATGTTCCCTTTGATTGTAAAATGTCAATGAAGATGTCAGACTTAGTATATTTGTTAATAATTACATACAACACATGGAATTTGTGTGTGTGTGTGTTCCAAGTGAATCTGCGGCCCCCTGGTGGCCAGTACGTCAATGATGTGGCCCCCACCACCATCAAAGTTGCCCATCCCTGATCTAGATGAATGCGACGAAGCAATTCATGCCGTTTTATTGTTTTTAACATTGAAATGACAAGAGCAACAGGTGAAGATGAAGTTGTTGCGGAATCGTTGTGAGTACCTTTTTCAAGACGACAATTCAGTGAAAAGACGGACATTATATTGCCGCGGGGGGGGGTGGGGGGGGGGGTGTGTCTACAGAAGGTCTAGTTGTGATAGACACGGTTCGTCACTGAGAAATGGCAATAACATTCTTCTGACCTGAGCTCCTCCAACAATGCAACATATATAATAAAATACAAGCATATAAGATACAAAATAGTGCAAGAAGTCTATATACATGTAAATAGAATATGATATGTACAAGAACAGAATATGAAATGAAATAATGTACATTACGACGAAATTAATTACGGTTTATTGCTTTGATAACTATTTATAGTAACATCTAATGTGAAAACAAATGTTTGTGACAGTTTGTCGAACAAGACATGTCATGCTTCTTCGATGGGTATTTTGAATTAATGAATTAAGTTGAACGGACAAAATGACTAATTAGGTGCACAGATTAAGCCAACATTTATTTAAACACAATCAGCAGCCGTTATAACTTGCTTTATATTTAATTGTTGTTATTGTTCATTTGTTAATTCGACATGTATATTTTCTACTTTCTTGTTTATTTCTTGTCTTATCATGAACCCTCCTCCAGTAACAGATCTTACTTCCTGTGGAGAGCTGAAGGTGATGGCGCTCGGCACCTCGTAGGCGATCTGCAGTGAAGCCCCGCCCATATCCATGATGCCTACTGTGCGCCGCCTGCTGATTGGCTGCTGGTTCTGAGAGCCTGTCGTCACCTCCACTGTGGCTTCCTCTGAGAAACAGGAAGCAGATCTCATGTTATCATCTGATTCTGGGAACTGTGACCCGAACAAAATTAGAAAATAAAATAAAAACGGAAAAATACACAGGGGTTGTTTGAAATGACAAATATCTACACATCATGTACTCATGTATAAACTTAAACACACACACACACATATATAATACCCACGTACATCAACATACATACATACTCACACATACATACACACACACACACACACATACATATACATTCAATCTGTGTATAGAAACAAAGTCAAACAAGAGATGGTCCTGTCACTATTTCTACCCTATTTTATTTGTATTTACTTGCACTATTGTATCTGTGTATTGTGTTGCACTGTTGGAGGAGCCTGTGACCTAAGATTTTCATTGACATATCTACACTGTAGCTATGAACTAGTGTTGCACGGTGTACCGATACTTGAAAGGTACCGCGATACCCTGCCGTTAAAAACGTTAAGATTCCTCCGTTTCATTAGTATCGGTACTTTAAGAATGACGGGGAAAAGTACTCCGGTGAGAAAGCGCCGTTTTAATAAGAGCCGTGTGTGTTCAGCGCTCTGCTTCCACTCCCTGCACTGCAGCCGTGCCTGCAGTCCCTCCCCTCTCTCATGCACACGCTAAGTCCCTCCCCTCTCTCATGCACACGCTAAGTCCCTCCCCTCTCTCATGCACGCGCTAAGTCCCTCCCCTCTCTCATGCACACGCTAAGTCCCTCCCCTCTCTCGTGCCGACGCTAAGTCCCTCCCCTCTCGTGCCCACGCTAAGTCCCTCCCCTCTCTCGTGCCCACGCTAAGTCCCTCCCCTCTCTCGTGCCCACGCTAAGTGCCTCCCCTCTCGTGCCCACGCTAAGTCCCTCCCCTCTCGTGCCCACGCTAAGTCCCTCCCCTCTCTCGTGCCCACGCTAAGTCCCTCCCCTCTCTCGTGCCCACGCTAAGTGCCTCCCCTCTCGTGCCCACGCTAAGTCCCTCCCCTCTCTCATGCACACGCTAAGTGCCTCCCCTCTCTCGTGCCCACGCTAAGTCCCTCCCCTCTCTCGTTGGTATCGTGACAACACTACTTTATACACATGACAATGAAAGCCTTGAATCTTGTTAGCAGCTTCAAACTCACCATCATCAGCGTGATCGAAGCGGCCCAACACAAAGTTTATCCCGATCCACGCATACACTCCTGCAGGGACACAAAACAGGCAGGAAGTGGTTAGAAAGACATGGTTTTAGGGTTGCACTCTCTTGATTGAGTTAATAAAACTAAACCCAGTAGCAGCAAACATCATCAGTAAGCAAGCTGCTCACCTTCTTGTTTCCCAGAGATGACCTCAGCATGAGAGCTGGAGAACAGGAAGTCGAAATCCAGAGGAACGTCAGTGATCAGATCCTCCAAGATGGCCGTCTGCTGGCTGCACACAGAGGAACAGTCAAAAGGCAATATGACTACAGTCCATTTTGTTACTTAAAGGTCACCTATCATGTGTAGGCAATAGCATAGGTCTCAGATATATAAAAATTAGGGCTGTCAAACGATTACAATTTTAATCAGATTAATCACAGCTTAAAAATGAATTAATCATGATTAATCACCATTCGAACTATGTCCTAAATATGCCATTTATTTATGAATATTGTTGTGGGAATGGAAAGATAAATGAAAGAAGGCGGATATATCCATTTAACATACAGTATCTATGTTTATTATAACATTTTTCTGCGTGCAAAATGAAAGACAACCCACACACCTATCAATCATCAAACCGTGGGGTCTTAATTCATTACGTGTTGATTTCTATCAACGGGGGAGTACTTCAGGAAAGTCGACGGAGTGTGAACGTTGTGATCAGCTGTTTTAGCGCAGTGCTCCAGTGAAGGGGGGGAGTCTCCCTCCGCAGCCGGTTGGCGTAGTTTTGGCACAATTCCGTTGTCCAGACCGACGTTAACAGCAGCCCTGTCTGTGCACACGGAGACCGACTCTGTCGTCCGGTGATCTAACCGCGCCTTCTGGAAAAGCTTCACAAGTACGTCGGTACGCAAATGCGCTTTGTGACACAAGTGACGGTACGCATTTCAGATTACGCACATAACCTGCGTACCAGTTATGTGCACCCCGTACTACAGCAAAAGTATTCTCCGTCGGGACTTCCTGCAACAACACCACGCCGTTATCTTGATTCTGATTGGCCAGAAGACATTATCAAAGATGTTCTATTGAGAAGACGATCACTACGTGACAAAAGTTTTCAAAACCGTGGCTACTGAAATCAATCTTACTAACTGCTGTCTGTGCAATTTACTCCGCGAGTTGGCAGACTTTATTTTGCTTACTTTAACATCATTTTTCATGGTGGGGCTAAGCCATTTATTGGTATGGGTGTAGCCTACCCCAGCCATACCCTGGCGCTGTCACTGGTGGGACGTATGGGGCAGGCCATTCTGCACATGCGTTAAATGCGTTAAATATTTTAACGCAATTAATTCAAAAAATGAATTACCGCCGTTAACGCGATAATTTTGACAGCACTAATACAAATATATAAAAAACATGTCTATGAAGTGTTTTGCTCAAAATACCAAACAGATCATTCTAGCCATGCCTCATATCCCTCTATTTCACTTCCTGTTTCAAAAGTGCTGATTTGGGGATAAAGCTTTAAAGAGCAGGGGTCTGAGCTCATGCGGGACCCGGCAGCTACTGTCTAAACTAAATGCTGCCGTGATAAAACGCCATATCATGGATCATCAAGGATTCTCTCTGAAACAGTCTGGAGCTCAAAGGCTTTCTCTCTTGCCGGTTATACCACAAGGTGAGTTCCTTTTTATTTCCTGCTTCTTCACACACATGCTCTCCAGTACAGGTTAGCTCTGAGTGTTAGCGATGCTAATGTAAACACCGACCATATTACTTCCAAAACAGTCGGGCATTGTTTCTGATAGCAATATTTCTGATAGTGTTTTTTTCATCAATATCAACCATCATTTACCTAAATTCAATATACCTCTAGTGAGCGGCTCAGCCATTCATTTATTTTTCTGTATGTGGCCCTTGGTGAAAAAAGTTTGGACATTCCTGATTTACACGTTCGAAATAAATAAAATCAAATAATGGATGAAATAAAAACCCGAGAGTAAAGATGAGTTACCTGTCCGGCAGCAGCCTCATGCCGGCGGTGCACAGGATGTAGAGCGGCGTCTCTTTGTGTTTGCTCCTCGGGACGTGAGCAGCAGCGAAGCTCAGCAGAGGGTAGAGGTAATCACTGGCCCGAGTGGGAGAGGTGGCCAGGGTGGAGATCCCTGAGAGAGACGGCAACAACACACACATTTCAGCAAAAACTAAACATCATTCACAAGTGTTATCACAAGACAGCTAATTAAAGAGACACAGCTTAAAGGTCCCCTATCATATATACAGAGCCTGTCTCTGATTGGCTGAAACACCAAACAGATCATTGCAGCATTACCCATAATCCCCTCTGTTTCAGCCCTGTTTCCAAAGTGCTGATTCTCTGTCTGTTACTTTAGATGAAAATAAGGAGCCCCTCCCCACGCCCCTCTGAGAGACATTTGGTTACAAAGAACTCAATGGAGCTCTAGGAGGAGATCCAGGTGATAATTCATTTAACCTTTATTGAACCAGATAAGACCAATAGAGATATTTTGTAATGGGGACCTAGACAAGGCATCAAAGTCACACACACATAAACAGTATAATGCAAAACAATTCCTACAACAAAACTAAATGTCCATGCATCACGAGAAATATGCATAACTGTAAACAAGACATGTCATCGTCACTTGGCATGAAAGGATTTGTTTTCTCCTGTAAACTGTGTTTGAAATGCTCTGTTTTCTGCCTCTTAAAGCCCACCTACCAAAAAAGCCCCGGCTGCTCTGATTGGCTTGTGTGAGCTGCAGGATATACCAGAAGAGCCTGTATGTGACAAAGCAGGTCGAGACAAATCTGAACGGTTTGTTGAAGCCCATGTTCTCACAAAAAGCTGATCAGAGTGTCTAACAACTCATAAACTATGAAATAAAAGAGAGCAATGCAAGAAAAACGGTTTTTCTATATAAACGTTGGTACATTTGGTCCCAGGGTTCAAAGTGCCACGTATGCTTTAGCTATCGCTCCTGGGAAAACAAAACACCCAGTGTATCTAATCTGTGTGCTGAGATAAAGACAGAGGCACTGAATGATGCTTTCTGCTGAAATGACTAAACAGACGGACGTCACGACAAAAACTACCGGTAATCAGGATTATCCCATCAATTTCAGATCAAATGAGGAGGTTAACCGTACAAGGGAAACTCACAGAGGGCTCATCTGTTTTTATCCAGTTCAACTTCTATTTTTTCCCCTGCTCGATATTTCCCATGAATGCCACGTCTTATCTCCGTCACACACTCTGCCCTTCATTTCTCCTGGCTCTGAGCCAAAGGGACAGACAATGATAAGTAATGATCCTCATGCTGGCACCAAGAAGTCGAAAACACGGGGGGGGGGGGGGGGGGGGGTGCTGTGGGGGGCTTTACAAAGGTCACACAACAACAAAAAGTGAAGAAATCTGTGGTTTTTAGATGTTTGACAAAATGTCTGAAGAATTTCTCTCCGTTTCACTTCTGCACATATGGCACATATTATTATGGTTTAAGTTTCTGATTTAAAAGTATTAGAACATATTGAATATTAAATTGTGATATATTACTTAATAATAATGAAATGCAGATTAGGGCTGCAAGTTTCCGAAAAAAACGACGAGTTGCGATGATTGTGACTGAATTTGTAATTACGATATGTTTCACAATATTAGAGGGAATGATGATTTTTAATTATTATTTCGTTATCATTTAAATATATATGAAATGATTATGGTGGAGGATCTGTGCTACAAAGTCAGTACAATGTACGATGTATAGGCTAGAATATATCTGCAGCCCCTTACTTCATTAAAAAGGGTAACACATATTTAGCCTTTAACAAACATTGTAAACCCTGCATTCTGGACATTTGAATTGTCCATATTGCCGTCACTGAGCTCCCGTTTCCTCACCAGGTTTGATTTTCTTGACGACAGGTTTGCGGTCGCGGTCCTTCATCTGTCGGATGTCCAGCAACGTGTGGGGGTTCCCGTTGTGGGGGGGCCAGTAGTACACAAAGACCCTGGAGCCGCTGGAGCCACAGTCCACCACCACGCCGTAGTTCAGAGCCGGGTTCAGGACGTCCGTGGCCTCCATGGTCTCTGCGATGGAGAGGTACCTGGAGGAGGAGAGGGAACATCTGTTACTCGGTAATAAGACACACTTTCCTCTTATTTCAGCACACCGCCATCTTCGGATATCACATAACTCCCACGTAACACTTCACAACATCCGGTAATACTTCTGGTTCTTCACAATAAAACAAGTGAACGCATTCAACAGAAATAGTGCATGTAAGTTAACACATTAGGATATGAAAAACATGCTCCTGAACATTATCTACTTTGTATATGGTCATTAGCTTCTTGTTCTCTTTGGTTTTCATAATCTTAAAGGGACCCTATTCTGCCTTTTTGGGTTTTCCCTTTCCAGTAGTGTGTTCTAAAGGTTTTAGTGCATGTAAATGGTCTGCAAGGCTACAATCCCTGTGTTTCCTACAGAGGGAGTTTCTCTCCCACACACTCGCGCTTCTATTGGCTAGCACTCCAACACATTGTACGTTAGGGCTGCACGATATATCGTGTCGTGGCGATAATCACGTTATGCGCATGCGCGATATTCACATCGCGGGACGTGTGATTTTAAGTAGGCAAATTAACTCAAACACGTCATGTTACAATTATTTTGCTGCTTGCTACAAAAGGAAAAGGTACTTGAGTGAGTGACATGCCGGCTCTGCATGCACAGCAAACCACCAATCACAAGCATTCTTGATCAGATCACAGCAGGATAACCGCGCTAGCTCAGCTTGTTGCTCTGATAACTTAAGATCCAGAAGTCAATGACTAAAATCCTTCATCCGGTTAAATATTGTTAAAAAAATACCAATTGTATAGCTTTAAAGTTCAGGAAGGGATGGTTTGCGGACAAAAAAAACCTGTATTTTCTTCAATTCCTGTATTTTTTCATATCGCAGGGGAACAAAATATCACAATGTAAGTTTTTTCCAATATCGTGCAGCCCTATTGTACGTGACATCTCTAAGCGGTTGACCAATCACATCAGAGCCGGCCAGCTAACCAATCAGAGCGGACTGGGCTCTGGTTTCAGACAGAGGGTGAAAAGAGGTGCTGCAGCACAGGCAGTATGAGAACAATACAGAGCTCTTTGAACATTAAAGCATGGAGACATGTCCCAGGAGAGTTGACCATATTGACCGGTTTTTTTCCATTCATGGAAACATGGAAACATTTGTTGCTGGATAACAAGCTTTGTGAACACGGTTATCTCATTAGTTTCTGAGGCCTGACAGCTCAAGGTGACTGTGTGAGAGTGACTGCAGCTGTTCTCCTTCGTGACCAAGGATAGTTACGGCCCGTCCACATTACAGCTTCAAAAAAGCTTGGAGCTGGGCGCGTCTGAAGCCCGACCAACAACCAATCACATGAATCTCCCGCCCCTGACACACAAGCAGCGGTTTGATTGGCTAGAGCTTGTACTGGCATATGATTTGATTGGCTGGCGCTGGCTACTCCGGCGTCAGAAGTTGAACATTGTTCAACTTCTGACGCCGGAGACGGACCGCTATGCTACCCACAATTCAGTTCGGCGAAAAGCGAGGCAAACGCGTTGGAAACCGTTTTTGAAGCTGTCGAAGCTGTAGTGTGGACGGGCCGTTAGAGATAGTGAAATATGTTATCTTTTCATATGCAGTTTTCTACTTTTAGTTTAATCAGACCTAAGAAGAAGATCAAATGCACGCTGAAGGCTCTTTGAGCATGTTTTCTCTCAGGGATTGTGCCGTTATGCTCAATGTTTGTTGTTTGTTTTACATGTATTGTATTGTGTCTTGATATTTGTCTGTTGATGTTACACATGGAGCTGCTGTGAAATCACATTTCAGACTTGATCTGACCATTGAAAGGTCACCTATTATGCAAAATCCACTTGTTCCTGTCTCTTCTACATCAACATTTGTCCCCTCTTCTCCATGTCTCTTCTACATCAACATGTGTCCCCTCTTCTTCATGTCTCTTCTACATCAACATGTGTCCCCTCTTCTCCATGTCTCTTCTACATCAACATGTGTCCCCTCTTCTTCATGTCTCTTCTACATTCTAACATGTTCACATCGTCGTCACTCCCTCTTCTTCATGTCTCTTCTTCTACATCAACATGTGTCTCCTCTCTTCAATTGTCCTCTTCTACATCAGCATGGTGTCCCTCTTCTTCATGTCTCTTCTACAATCAACATGTGTTCCCCTCTTCGTCATGTCTCTTCTACATCAACATGTGTCCCGCTCTTCTTCATGTTTCTTCTACATACACCTGTGTCCCCTCTTCTTCATGTTCTCTTCTACTCACAGTGTCCCCTCTTCTTCATGTCCTCTTCTACAATCACCATGTGTCCCTCCCTCTTCTTCATGTCTCTCTACATAACATGTGCCTTATTCTTCTAAATCACTGTGTCCCCTCTTCTTCATGTCGCTTCTACATCAAACATGTGTCCCCTCTTCTTCATGTCTCTTCTACAATCAACATGTGTCCCCTCCTTCTTCATGTCTCTCTAATCAAACATGTGTCCCCTCTTCTTCATGTCTCTTCTACATCAACATGTGGTCCCCCTCTTGCTGTCATGTCTCTTCTACCATGTGGTTCCCTTTTTCTACATCAACATGTGTCCCCTCTTCGTCATGTCCTCTTCTACATCAACATTGGTCCCCTCTCTTCATGTCTCTTCTACATCAACATGTGTCCCCTCTTCTTCATGTCTCTTCTACATCAACATGTGTCCCCTCTTCTTCATGTCTCTTCTGCATCAACATGTGTCCCCTCTTCTTGCATGTCTCTTCTACATCAACATGTGTCACCTCCTTCTTCATGTTCTTCTACACATCAACATGTGTCCCCCTCTTCTTCATGTCTCTTCTACATCAACATGTGTCCCCCTCTTCTTCATGTCTCTTCTACATCAAAACATGTGGTCCCCTCTTCTTCATGTCTCTTCTACATCACATTGTCCCTTCTTCTTCATGTCTCTTCTACATCACATGTGTCCCCTCTTCTTCATGTCTCTTCTACATCAACATGTGTCCCTCTTCTCCATGTCTCTTCTACAATCAACATGTGTCCCCTCTTCGTCATGTCTCTTCTACATCAACACTGTGTCCCCTCTTCTTCATGTCTCTTCTACATCAACATGTGTCCCCTCTTCTTCATGTCTCTTCTACATCAAATGTGTCCCCTCTTCTTCATGTCCTCTTCTACATCAACATGTGTCCCCTCTTCTTCATGTCTCTTCTACATCAACATGTGTCCCCTCTTCTTCATGTCTCTTCTACATCAACATGTGTCCCCCTCTTCTTCATGTCTCTTCTACATCAACATGTGTCCCCTCTTCTTCATGTCTCTTCTACATCAACATGTGTCCCCTCTTCTTCATGCTCTCTTCTACACAACATGTGTCCCCTCTTCTTCATGTCTCTTCTACATCAACATGTGTCCCCTCTTCTTCATGTCTCTTCTACATCAACATGTGTCCCCTCTTCTTCATGTCTCTTCTACATCACATGTGTCCCCTCTCTTCAGACTCTCTATCTTACATCATGTGTCCCCTCTTCTTCATGTCTCTTCTTACATCAAACATGTGTCCCCTCTTCTTCATGTCTCTTCTACATCAACATGTGTCCCCTCTTCTTCATGTCTCTTCTACATCAACATGTGTCCCCTCTTCTTCATGTCTCTCTTCATCAACATGTGTCCCCTCTTCTTCATGTCTCTCTACATCAACATGTGTCCCCTCTTCTTCATGTCTCTTCTACATCAACATGTGTCCCCTCTTCTTCATGTCTCTTCTACATCAACATGGTGTCCCCTCTTCTTCATGTCTCTTCTACATCAACATGTGTCCCCTCTCTTCATGTCTCTTCTACATCAACATGTGTCCCCTCTTCTTCATGTCTCTTCTTCATCAACATGTGTCCCCTCTTCTTCATGTCTCCTCTACATCAACACGTGTCCCCTCTACATCAACATGTGTTGCCTTTGTCCTGATCCATTTATATAAAAACCGGTCTGAAAACGAGCTGATCAGATTTTGGACACTTTATGATGTCATAACGATGTTTTGTCTTGAGTAACCATTAGCCAATCACCAACCAAGGTACCCCCCCCCCCCCACCTTATCACCTGAATCTCCTCCTAGAACACCATTGAGTTCTTTTTAACCAAATCTCTCTCAGAGGGGCGTGGGGAGGGGCTCCTTATTTCCATCTAAAGTAACAGACAGAGTATATGTGTGACTGGGTGTGGCTGGTTGTGACTGGTTGTGACTGGTTGTGACCGGTTGTGACCGGTTGTGACTGGTTGTGGCTGGTTGTGGCTGGGTGTGGCTGGGTGTGACTGGTTGTGACTGGTTGTGGCTGGGTGTGACTGGTTGTGGCCGGTTGTGGCCGGTTGTGACTGGTTGTGGCTGGTTGTGACCGGTTGTGGCCGGTTGTGGCTGGTTGTGACTGGTTGTGACTGGTAGTGGCTGGTTGTGACTGGTAGTGGCTGGTTGTGACTGGTAGTGGCTGGTTGTGACTGGTTGTGACTGGTTGTGACTGGTAGTGGCTGGTTGTGACTGGTAGTGGCTGGTTGTGACTGGTAGTGGCTGGTTGTGGCTGGTTGTGACTGGTTGTGACTGGTTGTGGCTGGTTGTGACTGGTTGTGACTGGTAGTGGCTGGTTGTGACTGGTAGTGGCTGGGTTGTGACTGGTAGTGGCTGGTTGTGACTGGTTGTGACTGGTTGTGGCTGGTTGTGGCTGGGTGTGACTGGTGTGACCCGTTGAGACTCTTTGTGACCCGTTGAGACTCTTTGTGACCCGTTGTGACTCGTTGTGACCCGTTGAGACTCTTTGTGACCCGTTGAGACTCTTTGTGACCCGTTGTGACTCGTTGTGACCCGTTGAGACTCTTTGTGACCCGTTGTGACTCGTTGTGACTCACTTGTTGACTCTTTGTGACCCGTTGAGACTCTTTGTGACCCGTTGAGACTCTTTGTGACCCGTTGTGACTCTTTGTGACCCGTTGTGACTCTTTGTGATCCGTTGAGACTCTTTGTGACCCGTTGTGACTCTTTGTGACCCGTTGAGACTCTTTGTGACCCGTTGAGACTCTTTGTGACCCGTTGAGACTCTTTGTGACCCGTTGAGACTCTTTGTGACCCGTTGTGACTCGTTGTGACTCACTTGTTGACTCGGTGGCCGGGGTGCTGCCCCAGGCCCCACAGCTGCCTCTGGTAGGTCCCCAGCAGCAGCAGGGTGGAGGTGATGAAGAGCAGCAGCAGCAGCCTCTGCCTGGGAGCGCAGCCCAGAGACAGAAGGGACACGCTGCAGTGCCAGGAGGCCGGCAGGCAGGAGAACGTGATCCTGGGGAGGAGGAGCACAGCAGAACACTTCATTAATGTTAAGAAAATGTATGTTTGGTCCATGATTTATTTGAATCAGGAACCTGCATTCTATGTTATTATTATTATTGCTTTGCTCGCTTCATGTGAAAGCGTATTTTGTCAGATATAAATGACCCTTTATTTGCTTATTTACCTTTTCTTGGACTTAAAATCACACTGTACATTTTACATTTATATATTCAGAGTATATGCAGGAATCCTGAAGTCAAATGTAATTCCTTTTAAGACCTTTTTTAAGACCCTTTCCATACATTTTAAGACCTCATCGCTACTTTGAGTTGTAACCGGTTACCTTGGCGACACACTTTACCTCACATTGCCTATATACAGTATTGATTGTCCTTCCTCCTTATCTTCCAACCATTTGGACGCAGACTTGCATTTCCCCATAACGATGTTGTTTAACAACCGGCGTAAACGGACCTTCGCGCTATCAAGCAGTGAGCGTGCGATGTCCTGTTCAGATGTTCAGTGGTCTATTGTTTTTATTATATGGCTGTTATTTTTTTTTTTATTATTACGTTTATTCTGGTTTGTTTTGTGTTTGTATCTTAAATGTATTTATATTATGTTGTGTGAGCTTATCTCTCTGTACAGCACTTTGGTCTGAAGGTTTTAAAGTGCTATATAAATAAAGTTGGATTGGATTGGACGTCGAACCCAACGGGATGCCATCAATAAACTACAGAATCACACTACACACCTACGCAATGATTACATTCAGGCAGACTGTAGAATACAACCTCTTTGGACCATTTATATACTTATTGATAACAAGATACAAAATGTAATACCTTGAAAAATGCCATTTAATACTTTTTAATAGCCTTCATTTTCACTAAATTGATTTATCAACTTTTAATACTTTTTAAGACCCCGCGGACCCCCTGATTCAGTTTTATATTTAATATTCCATTCCTCACATACTTATGTATATATAATAACTTGCTTTATATTTTGTTTTGTTAATTTGTAAATTCAACATGTATATTTTCTACTTTGTGGTTTATTTCTAGTCTTTTACGTTTGTATTGTACCATGCCATGTATTTGATGCTGCTGCAACACAAACATTTCCCAAATTGGGATCAATAAAGTACATCTTATCTTATCTCCTATAGAGCTGTGTTACACATGTCCCCTAACATGTAACAAGATCTTAGGGTGTGTAACTGTCAGTGCTACCATTCAAATCACACCCTTCCACATGCAGAACATGTTCCTGAACACTTCAAAGACTCCACGTGTAATAGAGACTTTGGATGCTGTTATCAGTTCATTACCTTGCCATCTGTCCCGGTGGGCAACAATACAAGAAGTCACAGTCGTCACCTCATGGTGTTTGCAGAGTGATCAGGACCCGGTCCAGAGTTTAGACTTTCCTTCTGCCTGAAGGAGAGAAGAGGGAGAACACACATGTAGAAAAGCTGAAACATCTCAACACCTTATTGACAAAAATATATAAACATGTTTTTGCTCAAGGATTTGCTGATTTTCTCTGTCTAATGTGATGGTTATATTTTAAATGTAGTACAAGGAATTTGGAGGTGTCACCTTTGACAATTTTCACTGTTAGTATCTAACACTTTTAGAGCACAACATAAAAAACACATTACAGGTATTTTGGAAAACCAAAGGGGCGAGATAAATCAGTCTTTGTTTTAGTTCTGTGTCTATTCACACTTTTTACTTTACTCAGTTACTGTAGCTTTAAAATACTATTTAACTCATTTCTTTACATTTCTGTGACGTTGCTGGTGTAAAGTTGCAATTTCCCATCAGGATCAATTAAGTTAATCATTACTAATCTATAAATATACACCGATCACGTGTACTACTTTATTTCGTATTGATCCCCAGTGAGGGAAGTCAGCTGTTGCCGAAGCCAGAGGACAGCAAGACAGATAAGTAGAGAAAGTAGAAGAAGTAAATAAACAGATACATATAAAACTCCAATAAGAATAGCATACAAAATACAAGAGCTTGTGCAGAAAACATTTGGGAAGTTAAATTGGTGTAATATTAGAGTAACATTACAACCATTGAAATGTATAGTCATAATATAGTATAAGGTAAAAGCTATTAAATATATAGTACAGTTAAATAAAATAGAATAAAATAGCAAATATGTAGTGTGCTAGAATTTATGAATGTGTAGTATACCATATATAATCAAACAACAGTTAGAAAACATTTTACAAGAATAAACCAACTTATAAAACGGACTAGTCAAATCAAGCAATCTGATTGGTTCTTAGCCAATGAGCGCATATCACGGGTAGAATTGTAGTTATTTTGTAAGTCACCGAGAAAAGCTACAACCGTTACAGCTGTTACATTACGTCCCTTACGAAACTAACTAACCAACAAAGCTTAAGATGGAAACATTTAAGTATACATGACTTCATTAGTGTTAGGTAAAGGTACTACCAGGTTATATTAAACATTTTCCAATGATATTTGTATGAAATCCTTCCAAAATGCATTCAAATGTTCTTCACAATACCAGCTATTAAAACGTAAACATAATATGCTATTTTCCTTGTTATATAGGATACAAGTGTAGCATTTAAAACACAGAACAGCATGCCAGCTGGACAAAACAAACACCACACTTAATATACATATAACATATGTTGTACTTTAGCTTCAGCACTGGTTTCTGTTTGTATTCATGTGATGTAATGTAATGTAATATAATGTCAGTTAAATTAGCAACAAACCGTTAGAAACCAGCTAACACAACGGTTAACAGTGGATTTAAATATATATGTATATAAACTTACCTAAATGTGTCTTTCCTCCGCCATGACAGTACAATCCGACAGTGGTTAAAGTGTTTGTTTAACAGAAAATGATGTGTAAATACGTATATAATCCGGCTGTTATTCACGGAGGTTTATTTAAAAAGAAGCCAAGTAGGCGAAGCAGAGGATCAAACAGGAAATCCAACACACTTCCGGTCGGCCCCGTGGTGGAGCTACGTCATCAAACTCGCCTGCTGCATTCAGGTGCTGTCGGACAACAATCTATGGCTTCAGAAACTTTAATATGTTTCTAGAAGAATTGAAATTGTACAGGGTAACATCAGGGGTGTACCAAAGACAGTACCTGTTCAAATCTCAGAATTCTGACTCTGTTTTCTCAGAAATCTGACTTTTTTCACTCAAAAGTGTGACTTTTTTCTCAGAATTCCCCAAAAAATGTTCTCACAATTCAGACTTTTTTATCAAATTTAGATTTTTTTTCCCCCTCAGATTTCTTTTGTGAATCTCAGAATTCTGACTTTGATTTTGAGACAATTTAATTTTTTAACTCAATATATTCTGAGATTAAAGTCAGAACTCATGTATGTTTTTTGCTTTTGGTAACAACCCCCAAAAATTACAATAACTGTAATACTTTTCAAGTTTTATTTAACTTGTAAAGGGTAACATTAAGCCTTATGATAAACAAAGTGGGTATCCAATCTGACATTTGAAAAGGTTTTGTAGAAGTTAAGAAACTTTTTTATTTTAGTTAACAGATAAATCAGGTGATTTGCATTTCAATTTTACATAATGACCTTTTACCTTATTTTGTTTTAATGCAAATAATTGTTCTTATTTCTCGATTTCACTTCCACCGTTATGTCTCTTGCACTTTTGTACTGCCCTATTTCATGTCTTTATTTTTTAATATGTCCTCAGTATATTATTGCATTGTTGGATGAGCCTTGGAAGATGTTTTAATTGCCCAAAAAAATCACTTTAGCTGGTGCAAACTAAAGCCTTTAAAATATCAAAGCAGTTCGTTGTGTCTTCATAATTGCTGCACCCAATCAAAGTCAACGTTATAGTCAATCTCAACATATGTTTGTACACACAGAAAGATCGAAATACTGTTTCACAGTACCGAGGTACAACAAACTCACACATTAAAATGCAAGAACACTCAATGATCCATCCCGTCAATGTAATACACTTGTAATTCGCTTTGTTATGGTCACAATTCCAATTTCGGACGTCCTGTTTAACATCCTTCCCGGAATCACATGTGACCTCCTGCTGTTATAAAATCGTCAACACCCATTTACACTGAAACACCGCCTTCTGTATCTACTCGCCCTCTTTTTTAGGACAGAAGTGGCCTATCAAAGGGAATATCAATGATCGACACTCGGCTTGTCCAATCAGCTTCGGCTTTGAGCGTAAGAAAACCTTCCTTTTAAAACCCCACCCTCTCGATCAACCCGCCTCTTTATTGGACAGAAGTAGCCAATCAAATAACAGATATTTGATTGACAGGCAGCCTTGTCCAATCAGCTTAGGCTTTGATTGTTACAGATCTCTCCGCCCTCTGTATCAACCCGCCTCTTCTAGGACAGAAGTAGCCAATCAAATAACACATATTTTATTGACAGGCAGCCTGACCAATCAGCTTCGTCCTTGAGTGTGACAAATCCTTCTGCCTCAACTCCCGGTTCCCCGACCCTCCACAGCTGCCCGCCGCGCAGTAATAGCGACCCGCCAAGAACGTTCTTCGGCCGGGTGGATACATTATACAGCCGGGAAGACTTCACACCACCCGGCGGGTCGCTAGGACTCCTCGATTTTAACCCAATTAAGCGACGGACTATACTCTTTGCCACCACCAAAAATGGAAGCGGAGGCGTTTGTGTCCCGGAGAACCGCCATGGAAACACCAGGCGTCGACAGCCGGGTTTCGAGCGCTGCAGCCGGGGCAGAGTTTCGATGGATGGGCAACAGACTGCTGGACGCCACGGGGGGATTTGTCGGCTCTCTTTCACCGAGAATACCAGGGGAACCGGACTTTACCCCAGTTGTGCATCGTATGGAGACCTCCGTGGAGCCAGAAATAGACTATGAAGGGCTTCCTCAGGGATCCGCCACCAGCACACACATGCTGGCTGGATCCGTGGCTGGAATCATGGAGCATTGCATTATGTACCCCATCGACTGTGTCAAGGTAATGCAACTAATATATATATATACAACATTCCTCCTTCTTCTTGTGCAGGCCTAGATTTGGTCACATTGAACCCAGTCACTGGTTATTCAAACCATGGATGTTTAAAAAGAACTGGATACATGACAGTTGCTAAGTGGTGCATGAAGCCAAAAATAGTCTTCCAAAGTACCCGTATGTAGGCCCATAGAGCATGCGTAGTTGAGATTTTCTTAAGCCCCGCCTCTTATCTCCAGCTCTCGGCTCAGTGAAATGAATGAAGAGAGAAAATAACTCGGGATTCAGGTTTTAGCACATTGAACAACTTTCAAACCCTAATGATTTAAATAAATGCGTTACAAGAGTTCGTACTGGTAAGTTTATATAACTCCAAACAATTATACGCATATTTACAGACGTCTCTTTTCCAATGCAAGTCAATGGGAAAGGTCTTTTTGGGCCAAAATGACGTCACGGCAGTTGTAGTACCACCATTTGGCCACAGCGGCCGTTAATTTAAATCGGCTTCAACGACCGGCGTTAAACCCACAGTAGGCCGCAATATAAGGCTGAGCTTGAATAACGTTTTCCTTCAAGCTAACGGGGGGTAACCTTGTTATCAGAGGTCAGTTAACTAACTAAAATTACCTGAACAGCAAGTTATATTACAAAAAATAGCTCAAACAGAAGATGGAATGACGTGGGTGTGTTTACCAAAGTACAGCGTTTTCTGTTGTCATTTTATGTAAAAATAACGATGTGACATTGGCTTCTAGTCTCACTTAGCTACAATGCTACATGTGTAGTCTACTAGCTAAAGCAGTGGTGGATCCATTATCGGACACCCCCTAAACTTACATGTCACCTTTTGGTTTTAACGTGGAATCATAAATCTAAGGGTGGAAGAAGTACTCCGGTCTTATGCTTAAGTTAAAGTGGATGTACAACCGTTTCAACATACTCTGTGACAAGTAAAAGTCCTGCAATCAAAGTGCTACTAAATATATGTTTTATTGGCATCCAAATATATTTAAAGGACCAAAAGTAAAAGTACCAATTATGCAGATTGGCCCATTTTAGAATAATATATATGACGTGTTTGGGTTCTTATTATTGATGCATTAGAGTGTTATCAAAGTGGGTAGAGCTGCAGCTAATTTTAATGCCATGAAGTAGAAGTATAACGTAGCAGGAAATGGAAATACTCAAGTAAAGTACCTCAAAATATTACTTGGTACATGTACTTAATTACTTTACACCACTGAATCTAACCCCAACACGTTTTCACTCTTCTAAGATAAGTTGGAAATAGCTTTGTAACTCAAGTTTTCTACAGATATTGGTGTTGTTATGGTATGATAATCGTCCTACTAATTCATGTAAATATTCGTAGGACACGCTTTGGCAAATACTGAAATAACAAAGATTTCCTTTAAGCAATAGGAGTTATCAGACGTTCCACATTTAAAACAAATTAGTATAGGTTATTTTAACTCAACAAATGTATCGTAGATGTTTGTATTTCATCACTGTGTCAAAAGGTATTTGAGCCAGTCATGTGGAAAGTCCATGTAAAAAGATGAAAATAGTAAATGATTAACACAGATGGGTAGTCAGTAGACGGTCAATCTGTATCATACAAGTGAAGGAATTCTTGTAAATAACACACACACTGGCTTGGCAGACATTGTACATAGTTGTCTTATCAGTCAATCTTGTATAAGTCTGTGTATGTGTTACTCTAAACCAGGGGTGTCGCACTTAATTTCATCTCGGGCCACATTAGCATTATGGTTGTATTCAAAGGGCCGGTTGTAACTTTAGGCCTATATAAATATACATGTATTAAATGTATTATATTACATTATTGCCTCTGCATTGGATTTTTATCGGATACGGTAATAACTTCATAATTAACTGCGTCTGAGAGCAGAAGTCTAGGGCAAATAATTGCAAGTCTCTTCAGTGCGAATGTCACAAAATGATTTGAAAAGAAAAGCCAAATTCTGGAGAAAAAAAGTCACAAAAAAAGAAGTGAAATAAAAGAAAGTGACATTCTAAGAAAAAGGCTTATTTTGAAGATAAAAAAAGTTGAATTCTGAGAAATAAGTCAAATTTGAGATGCATTGTGGGACATGTAGTTCATGTAACCGTATAATAAACATATTATATTCTTTGCAAGCTCTTGGGCCACATAAAATGAAGTCACAGGCCAGATTTGGCCCCCGGGCCTTGAGTTTGACACCCCTGCTCTAAACCAACACATGACATAAGTACACACTGTGAAGACTACCCATCCATATGAATCATTACGGTAAAACGGAAGCGTACCAACAGAAGAGTGGACACCATCTTCTAGATCTTGCGTTGAGAGAATTGGGATTTATTATGAGGAATGTGCGTCTGAATATCCTGTTCCAGTTATCTGAAATTTGACCTTTTTAAGCCTTCTGTGCTCATTAGTTTCTGACTGTATTTGAGTTGCACATTACACACTATTTCTATTTTCTAAAGAAGACTATGTAGCGTGCTTACACTGGATAAGAGATGAAGTACATTCAAATATGTTCTGATGCGTACTAGATTGAGTGGTGTAGGTCGACAGTATTTCTCGAAAAGCAGTGCACAACAGAAATTGAAGAGCTTGTACAAATGGAAATAATTAAATACCTTGGTGAAAGCGATTTGCTTGTTTCTGTTGGTTTATATTTGTTTCCTGTCGTGCAAAACGAAGAAGAACCGTTCCCCGGTCACCAATTGAGAAACACAATTCACTGTGAAATTAAAACAACATATTACTGTGCCCATTATTGTTTTATAGTTTGGTATAGCAATATATATTGTGTTTGTGAACAGAGGAACATGTATTGGGCATGGGCATTAGTTGACCACACTTTGAGTAACGCTCATTACGGACTTGGACATGTAACTCACTTCAGACCTTAACATTGGTTCAGTTACTAGATCCCAAAACAAACCTTTAGCAAAGAAGTAGGTCCCAAAATCGGTTGGACTGCCGCGGCAAACTCCTTCTCAAAGACTCATGAATTATACTCCATAAAATGATCTATGTATCTATTTTAGGTAGTGCTGAGTTGATTTAGGAAAAACTCATTGCCTTAATTTGATTGCAATTGCAAAATGATTTCTGCTATTGGAGGAATTTATCATTTGTGCCCCTATTCTCGTTGAAAGGAGAAATGTCACATCAACATGCATTGTTGCGCGATATATCGTGTCTTGACGATAATCGCGATATTCACATCGCAGGACGTGCGATTTAAAAAAAGGCACATTTAAGTAGGCAAATGAACTCAAACACGTTACAATTATTTTGCTACAAAAGGAAAACTTGCGCGGCTCTCATGTCGGGGACTTGAGTGAGTGACAGCAAACCACCGATCACAAGCAAATCTCCAAAGCAAACGGACGGTGATTAAAGGTCACAACACTGAATAATGTAGTTTCATGTGTTTCTCCAGTTCGGCGCTGCTAACCGAGCTAGCTTGTTGCTCTGATAACTTATGATCTCGAAGTCCGTGACTAAAATCCGTCATCCGGTTAAATATAGTTAAAAAAATCCCAATTGTATAGCATTCAAGTTCAAGAGATGATGGTTTGCGGGGAAAAAAACGGTCTTTTCTTCAATTCCGGTATGTTTTCATATCGCAATATATATATATATCGCAGGGGGGGGGGGGGAAATCGCAATGTCAGTTCTTTCCATTATCGTGCAGCCCTAGTCTGTACCAAACAAATCTATATTATTCTTACGATATCTATGCTGGGATTTCTCTGCAGCTACTTTATTCAGATGTATTAGTACATGTTTTGCCTGTAAGTACGTTTCTTCTGTATGTTGGGACATTAGGGCGCTTTATCCTGACTGTCATTGAGTTCCTTGAACCAGAGGAGGAAGAACACATTTATTTAGGGGTTTCCCTGAGCTCCAGTGAATGAAACAAAGCTTTGTGTTCTCTAAAAAAAACCTTCCGTATAATCTCCTCGAGTTCATTATATGTTTCTCCTTTTGGCAAAACCATTTGAACCTGATCACCTCTTGTTTACAAGGGCGGTGTCCGACGCAAATCCGATTGTCCGATTGAATTCTTTGTAGATTTTTAATGGCCTTTCTTTTTAAATGCGTCTTAACTTTTCTCTTCCCCTTCAGTCAAGATGGTTTCGGCCACAAAGAAAAGTACAAGGAGGAAGTGCATTGCAAATATTTGTAGAAGTACGTCTTCAAGATCCCTTTTTTATACTCCAGTAATGTTCAGCGAACCACTTCCTCGAGAGTTCTTTATTTTCACAATCTTAGTTTCCTGTTCCTTCAAAGACAACACAGTTCTCTTCTGTTCTATTCCTTCCGATCATTTCAGACACGGTTTCCTTGTTGCTCGGGTTTTTACTTTAATAATATGCACCAAAAGACGTGTTCTCCTGGTCTTATCGGGCTGTAACTTTAATTAATTTTGCGCCTTTGACCAAACTAAAAAGTCAAAGTATACGACGGACCATTCCTGGGTTACACTTCCCCATTACTACTATTAGATAACTACTTAATAAAGGGAGTGAAAAGACGCAAACACACTCTATAAACGGGCATTTTCAGTGTAAGCCTGGCGAAAAGCTCTTTATCATTTCAACTAGATGTCGTTTCATAGTGTAGCGTTTAACGTTTTAATCAATTACTGATTTAGTCATTATCAGCAGGCGTGATGTACATTACATTACTTGTTACTTGTTAGACGCTTTTATCCAAAGCGACTTACTGTGGACAATCCCCACAGGAGCCATTTGGGGTGAAGAGTCTCAGGGACACAACGACATGCTGACTGCAGTGGGGTTTGAACCTGTGCCCCCCTGATCCGAACACCTACGCTCTACCCACTGCGCCACACGCCTCCTGTACCTCACAAAACACCTATTTGATGAACATTACTCGACAGAAAACACTACATTTAATCAGAATTGGAAAGATACAGGTTAATACGTTCAAATTGATGTGACTATGACGTCTG